CTCGAGGAACACATCACTGTTATTCTCATTCAGAGTTTGCTTCGTGTACAATTCACGGAGGGCACGGGCAAAGAATAGGAATCTAGGAGGGCCCAGGGAAGCACTTTAAAACGGTACGTGTGAGCTACGATAGTTAACAGGCTGCAAAAGTGTATCGCATGCCTCAGTTTCAGGCTGTTTCTCATAATGGCGTGCGTGCATGCGCGTGTAGATCCCGGGAGGTTAGTTGGTCGAAAAGTAGATCTTCGGTCCAAAAGGTTTGGGCACCCCTGGGATAGACACTCGAGGTCCTTGAATCAAGGGTCCATGTCTTTAGATACAGCATTCTCCTTGTATGTCTCCAGTTATTTTTTTAATGTCGATTTAAACTTGGCAACATAAGAAGGGTCATCTGAGCTCTCCATCACCCCAGAAAGATGGCAAAATGCAGGAGAGCCACGGAGCGTGAAACATACTTCTCTCCCTAAAAGTTAGTCACATGTGAAACCTGCAACAGAAAATCAACTCTACATGACTCAAACGTAATTGCTTTCACTTAAACACACAGAGTTCCTAAGAGTGCCTGGATTTTATTGTTTTCGTGGTCTGAAAAGTGCTTGAATATTAGGTTATATGCTTTCAAGTGCTTGACATTGTAACTATACTAAATTGAGATCCTTGAATTTCAAAACCTGTTTGTTGAAACGAAATGTCAAAGGTGTATAGCATAATATGAAATGTATCAGCGGCATGGTGATCGACTGGTTAGCACATCCGCCTCACAGTGCAGAGGTCTCTGGTTTGATTCCGGGCCTCGGAGTGTGCATGTTTTCTCCGGATACTCCGGTTTCCTCGCACATTCCAAAATCATGCATGGTTGGCGAACTGGACACGGCTGAGGTGTGATTGTGAGCGCGAATGGTTTTTCGTCTTTGTGTGCCCTGCAATTGGCTGGCAACCAGTTCAGGGTGTCCCCCGCTTACTGCCCAAAGACAGCTGGGATTGGCTCCAGTATGCCCGGGACCCTCGTGATGATAATTGGATCAAATAATGGATGCAATGTATCTGGTGGCAAAAAGTGACAAATAATCATGAGTATAATATCATATGTCTTTCTTTTTACAGGGTTCTAATATGTTTCATAGCACCAGCAACCCGCCAAATGTGGGTTAAAATTGATTTTGGCGGGTGTTGATGCCCAGTTTGGACAGTGGTATGTAGGGTAATCGCGTCCGTCAGAAATACTTTGGCATGGAGTTTCGTAGATAAATCAGAACTGTTCCTCTTACGGAATCGTTCGCCTCCCACTTTTAAGGAACGAAAAGTAATGGGACAAACCAACAGTCATAAATGAAAGTTCACTTTTTAATCCAAGGCTTTGCCGTCATTTACAGCCTGAAGTTTAGAATACATACACATCGTAAGACGCGATATTTCATCTCAGCTGCCTTCAGTTCCTGCTTGTCTTGGGGCAAATTGCCTTCAGTTTTGTCTTTAAGGGAAATACATGCCCACTCGGCTTAAATTCAAGTGACTTGGCTATTGCTTAACATTCCACTTCTGCACTGTGAAATGCCTTCTAATGAGGTGTGAAGCCGGTGGCTGAATATGAGCATGCCCAGATCAGTGAGCAGCCAGTGATCATCTGCACCCTTTGCTTCCCTCCCCCAGCCCCCTGTGTTGCTTTCGTGGTTTTAAAAATACTGTTGACATTTTTGCCGTCCACAGGCCCAGACTATACGATCAGAAGTAACAAGAGCGAGGACAACCCAGACGAACGAAACCCATTTGGCCGAGACGAAACTCTGAAAGGTTTTGAGGCCAGGTTTCCACTCCAGTTCAAACAGTCAAAAGTAATAACGTATCAAACTTAATGTGACATGTGGAGAAGTGCTATATATGACTTATGTCTTTCCTTCTACCCATTCAGACTGCGACATTGCGAACTGGTCTGTCCAGGGTGTCCGGTGCGGGCAGTCAACCACGACGCTCCCAAAGCCCAACTTCCTGCTCCAGCCCAGTATTTACTACTGGTCAGTCGGAATTGAGGATGACGATTAGCCCCCAAGGTAGGCTGCCTCATCTGATCAAATATTCCGTTACATGCACCTGCCTGTTACACAAAAGTGATCCACCCGCTTTACCTTGAACACATATAATAAGTACATTTCCGGGGTTTAAGCTTGTGATCGCTTGATAGTTTGAGACTCGACTGGCCAAATACATATTGTGTTTAATAGCAGTACTTAACAGTACAGTGGTACCTCTACTTTTCTAATTATTTATTTCTATACATACATGTCGAATTATTTCTAATTCGACATGTATCTATGGATGAAATCAATAAGTGTGCACTCACCGAAATGCACAAAGCGGGCAGGTGCAGCACATGCGCATCCGTGAATGCAGGAAGATTAAGGATGGTGGTTCAAAATGTGCAGACTCTCTTTTTTTATATAAAGCAAATGGTTAAGTTAGATGGTTGTGAATGTCGTAAAGTCCAAACTTGGATCCGGGAAGGATTTAATCTGACGCACAAAGAATTCACAATGCGGTGAAATGACTTGATTGATTCAATATCTGTTGCAAACATGTTGCATGTATCATATTCAAAATGAGAGGAGAATTGCAAAAATTATTCTCGTTCATCAGTTGAAACATGAAATGTTTGCCTTTGTAGTTGATTCAATTGAATAGTAAATTCCCGGACTATAGAGCGCACCTGATTATAAGCAGCACGCACTACATTTTTAAAGGAAAAACATTTTGTACACACACAAGCCACACCTGTATATAAGCCGCTGGTGGACACATTGTAACATGAGATATTTACAAAGAAAGGCAGTACACAGAAAGCGCTTTCAAAGTTTTAATAACAGACCTTAACTTTTCTTTTCAAATAGTGCCTGTAACACGGCAGCACCACAGCAGTAAAACAGCACTAACGGCTGGATACAAAAAAAACTTCGCCGTTGAGTAATGCTTTTTTTTTCAATGAAAAGATCGTCGCTTGCCGAAACACTCGGTCAACCATTCCTTCATTAGGCTTTCGACTATCTACGCTTTCGTGTCAACTTTCACGACAATGTCTTTTGGGAGGTTTTTTGTTTTGTTTTGTTTTGTTTTGTCTTTCGGGGCACAGTAATCCTTGGTGGATGCAAGTGAAATGCGCCCTCTCATGGATGGTTGTTTTCAGTGTGTGACAGATGACAGTGTCTTCCTCGAGGTGTGTGTGTGTGTGTGCGCCTGCGTGCGCACGCGCGCATCTCACTCTTCCCCCTTTTCTGCTTGAGCGCTCCCTGGCGGCCGTTCGAAAAATCTTTATATAGGCGGCTTCATTAAATAAGCCGCAGAGTTGAAAGCATGTCAAAAGTCGCGGTTTATCGTCCGAAAATTATAGTAGGTTGAAAAGGATTTGCGAAATATTGTTTTTATTTATGTTCTATGCAGCATACCAACTTCATTGGCATTGGGTTTTGTAAAGTTGAGATTTGTAAAACCTGACCAACAGAATGCCTGCATTCTGAATTATTGGGGAGAAAAAAAAGACAGTGATGTTGTTACCTCGTAAAGACAGTAATGGATAATAGCCCAAATGGATTCTTAAAATAAAGATGAGGAATGTCTATCTATTTTAACAAATGCAGTAAATATTCTGTAGTGCGGACTCGTGTTTGCGCTGTCCAATTTGTCCTGATAACAGAAATTCCTCATTTGGGAAATGAGCATGGTACATGTCCTTTATGAACCTGCAAGTATGTTGACAAAATGCACGTGTAACAACACAATCAATAAAATACAAAAATATACTGTCCAAAAACTGTTTATAAAACAAAAACTGCAATACAGGTGTATCCAAAAAAAATTCACAACAGTAAAATACTTACAGTATTTTAATGTTTATTTTTTTTCTGTCTTGGGAAAAAAAATGTGTCTATTTTGGATTGTTT